CATCGTCGTCGTCACCAGAGAACAAAGACGACTTTTACTTCTTTAGAGCATGTACATTGGTTAAAGTCTTTAATGGGGTTCTCAACAATTTTATAATACTAAACTAACAATAAAGTTAGTTTAAAACTCACTAATTGTTTTTAAAATTTTGTGTCTTCCATTGGTTACAACCCCAAAGGGGTTCTCAACATGTCTTCTGTTTATACAACACTTCTTCTTATACAAATGTCCAAATACAAAGAAAGCAACAACTTGTGTCCAAAGTGTCTTCGGATTGCAGAGCTTTAATCTCTGGTGCTTTCATTTATTCAGTTTGCTTCGTGTCTTCTTGACTCTTAATACTTTCAAAAACCTGCCAGAATCAAAAACACACACACCAACTGTGAGCTCAACCACAACTGATGAAACATAGAAAGAGAACAGCCAGAATCGAACATAACTTTTCTATTGATCAGAAACACAAATAACATGAAAACAGAACATTAATAAGCAAACAAATAAGCATATTCATTGACAGAACACTGATCAAAAGCATATTCATTCACACATAACTGATTAAAAGAATATTCATATTCAGTCACAAAACAAGTCACTCATCACCTCGTTCCACTTAGACAATGAAAAATCTATAATAGTTAAAAGTTCCTTGCTAGTTTTTCCATATTTTGGAAGTTCTAACTCAAAATCGAGAGAGAGTAACTTAGAGGGAAGACAAAAAGAGTCCATCAACTACATAAAGTAGTGTCAGTCATTGTAAAATTTAGTTGGCTAAATCTAAAGATGGTTCCGGGGAGTTGGATTCTCTTAAATAATCTCTTGGTTCTAGCTTTGTACATCGGGAGGAGATTTCTATCTAAACTATAACCAAGCTATACAACAGTCATACATTCCAGGAGATTTCATTCTACCAAACACAAAACATATCACTCAAAACTTCTATCCACTCAGTGTATGACAAATAATACGTCAAGAGTTCCAAAACTTAAAAGCTCCATTCTTTTTTTTCTCCAATTTCCACAGTTAAGACTCAGAAACAAGAGCAACTCATTATAAGGAAGACAAGAACACAGCAATTCCAGAAGTTAACACTAACCTGTCTTCTTCAGGAACGTCAGTGTGACTAAGATTAACAATGGTGACTCCTGGTTCAAGCTCATCAAAAGTAATCTTCACCTGAAACATCAAAGCAAAAAAAAACCAATACAACCACAATCAAACTGAAATCAGGTTACCATTCACAAGAAATCAGGTTACTCCTTCTTCAAGCTCCAGATTCATTCCAGTCCCAGACCCATCAAACACACTAATCTCCCCATTCACATCTTTACTAATCTTAGCATTACTCTGTGTAAAACCTTTCCAACGATTCTCATACATTAAAATCTCATACAAATCCTTAGCTCTGCAATTAAACTTCTCAGTCATAGTAATCGTCTTGAACC